AAAAATTTTGGGACGGACGTTACGAGATCATATTCATGTTAGATTTTTGTGGACACTCTGTAACAGATACTTTACAAATCTCGCTTATTCTGAGAATTGCTAAGTGAATCGGCTTGGCTTTATATTATTTTCTTTGAAGCTATTATCTATCTATTATCTTTGAGTTAAAGTAGCGTCTCCCAACAAATTATGTAATAATGACCGCCTTGAAACGCTGATTTTAAATCTGATCATATGATACCGCTCGTATTTTCTGGAAAAACAACATACAGTCGCCCGATTCATGCGACACACCGTAGAGTGGCTGTATCTCGCTTTAGAGTGGACGAATTCCTATTTCAAGGATACTATTCGACTCAGCTCACATTACGCACCTCATGATATTTTAAGCGCTTTATGTAACCTACCGTAAGCATTCTCATAAATCTTCGAAAATCTCAAAATTCGTGAAATCTGGTCTCCAACTGTGTCCAAGTGGACACTTCTATATATCAGAAGACGCGCCGCGCCGAGCTGAGCTGACAAGGGAAGTCCGATTAGCCGAAGTGGCCTTTCCGAATGAGTCATAAACCATTTTGAAGAGCGTTAGACGCTGATTCCGAATCTGATTTTGTTATCTGCCGAGCGCCTCTGCATGCCGAGTTATAAATGTTTTTTGGAGCGAAAAATAATCGCAGAGTTCAAGTAAAATCAACTATTACGGACTTTTCAGAGCCTAAATAGAGCAACATGTAGTATGAGTGTTTTGGACAGAAGGTATCCTTTGAAATGGAGTGCTCTGATAAAAAAACATTGGATCATTTGAGCAATTTTGACGAACTTTGCTTCAATTACGCATTCATTTTTTCAACCCAAAGAACGCTCATAACTCGGCGTGCAGAGGCGCTCGGCAGATAATGAAGGCAGATTCGGAATCAGCGTTTAACGCTCTTTAAAATAGCGTATGACCCATTTGAAAAGGCCACTTCGACTGATCCGATCTCCCTTGCGAGTCAAATAGTCCCCTCAGATTAAGAATTGATCCACTCTGAAGCGAGATATGGCCACGCTACGGTGATCTCACATGAATCGGGCGACTGTGCGTCGTTTTTCAAAAAATACGGTATTGTATCTGCATGCTTCATTTGCGAAGTTACAGGCACTTGTCTGTTGTTTCTGTGCTGTTTAGTAGCACAGAGCTTACAAGCTTGTTAGTTACTTGTTGTAGGATCAAGGTAGCAGTGTAGTTAAACCCTTCTCTTCAATCTTTTTTTATCCAAAAAGCATATCTAAAGAATTCTAGTTCGTAGCTGTGAAGCAAATCCCTGAGAGCACCTCTAGCTTTGTCTAGTGAATTGTTTAGCAGATATGGAAGGTCCTTTTGTAGTCAGCGTTCAGAAACTTCGCAGCTGATATAATTTTAATTAGGTCCATTTAGATGTCTTTCCTTGCAAGCTTTTTCTTCCGCGAAATTGTTCGATGAGCCCATGGCACTTTCTGAGTAAAATATATTTGGTAAACACTATATTTGCATGGCAGCCTTTAACCATTTGAATTAAGTGCATGGGTTCAGTTTCTGCTGCACCTACATTGACTGTTTTTACGACATCATGACGAAAATGTAATAATCGTTTCCGCGAATGCCCATCTGTTTGAACCTCCCCCATGAACTGTTGGTGTTTTTTCTAGTCTAGACAGCGGAAGGACTTAGAAAGAGTGAACTGAAGCGATTCCGCTTCCGTGGTCGTTTTACCCTTTCCATCGCTGCCATGGCTATAAAATATTGCTAGTTATAATTCTCTAAACAGCTTATTATCAAGAGAGCTTCCCGTGTCACGTGTGGATTGCAAATCTCAATATGAAACGCAATCTCACTACTAAGAAAGATTCATTCATAATGATCGACGAAACTGTGGTAATACATAACGGAAAAACCGGCTTTGGGACATTATGATGTGATGACGAATTATGCGGGAAATTTTGACATCATTTTAAATGACGAGGGAGAGGATTAAAGTTTTTGTGTCAACCTCCTTTTACGTAAAGAAGTTGCACATGCTCATCTTGTGAGTGCGTGTAAGTTTCATTCTTAATGTATGTATTCCACTTTACGTCTACAAGACTTTCACAATGAAAACGCCGATCTTCCAGCTGACAAATGCATGAAACGTCATCACTCCCTTTTCCTTGATCACGATTCTGCCCAAGACGACTCTGGAATATCCGCACTCTGAAAAATGTGCGCTTCAACATACTAAAGAACCTATTATTCACTACTGTCCTGTGTCAAACTCGTGCTCCCTCTCTCATCCGCGCACCACCACGCCAGAGCTGCGCGCTACGTCTGCGCGCGTATGGCTTGGACATTCACAGAGATCTCAATGATTGAAAGTCCGCATAATTACACGCGTTTAAATCATTCAAGTTTACAGACAGTAAAAACCATAAGACCCAACTAACAGTTCAAAGGAACCCCCTACTACTACTACTACTAAAACACAGAAGGCGCGGTACGAGTCGCCTTCTGCCGATGCCTCTTGGCTCAAGCCCCATCCATAACGTTCAGCATTCGTTCCCGGGGTCGATCACATAGAACTTACAATAAGTCCTCACTAGACGGCGAGACCTCTCTCCAGTCCCTATGTTGTTCTCCAATTACCCTAACTTAACACATACAACGCTCGCACCTTCATCCAATTTCTCAAGCGAGCAGCTCAGCCGCTTCACTGTATTTGGGAAACAGTCCTTATGCAGCGTGATTCTCTTAAGCACTACGCTACAGAAGGAGATAGGGTTCTTTGGTTTCGAAGTCCTTTGGCGTATTTGGACTGGTCGATTCTGGAAAAAAAATCCCCCTTGAAATTAGGGTACCGTCAATGACCTCAAGCGCTAAGCGCGCGCGGAATAAGCTGTCTGTTGCGGCTCGGTGGGCTCTGCGCCCCCTCACCTAGTGCTCGACTGCCTTACGCCACAGCTCCTGTCCCAAAGGACTTCCGCCACTGCGGGTGGCGCCAACTCACAATGGCGCGTTACGCCTACACTGCACGAAACAATAAAAGAATACATAAATTTACTAAATAAATATACACAAAATACACGATATAAACAAATATAAATATACTTACCACGGGGAGAGTTAAGCTCTACCCCGGGCTACCGATGGGGACTCTGGCTTACTCACACTCACACACTAGCACACTCACTCACTCTCCCGGAATCCAAGGGGGCTACCCACAGGCCGGCCGCGCGCCGCCAAGGCAGCAGCTACGGCACGGCAACACCGACCCCATGATGTTAACCAACGGCATCGCACAAAGCTCCCAACGAATAATCCTGCGCAACCAAAGCGCTTTGTGATGTTCATCATCCTGGAATTCTATCCTCGCGCGTACATCCAAACAATCCATCAACGATCCATCCAATCGCGCGAGGCACGGGGACGTAGACACGACGGCGATATCGTAGAGACCCAACCAATCAATAATAGAGGCGGCACGACGATAATAGTAAGATGACAAGACGAGAGAGGCCGCACTGGCGCGCGTACGCGCTATTTATAGCGGTGGCTGGGGGCGTGCCTACATGGTGTGGTCTCGGAGCGAACAAGGTAGCCGCCGTAAAGCGCGGCGACCGTGCCCACGACCGAGACGCGCGGCAACACGGTGCTCCCGGCCACATGCTGTGAGGAGCGGTCGATCGCGAGCCGCGACACTCCCCCCACAACGAAAGGCATTGGGCGTTGCGAATAGGTGGTTACGTGATAGCACCGTGACCTGGGGCAACTGCCTTAACCTAAAAATTTGGGCGATGATAGAAAAAAAAGAAACATGCGACATCGGTAGCGAGGGAACAGGCAACAACCCGCCCCGTGGTAAAACACGAAAATAAACACAAAACTACAGGCGCTTTGACGCGCAGGTGACTACTAGAATAAACCGGAGCGCTCAAGGCGCTTACCAAATAAATATGAACAATGATTAAAAATACTTCTACAGCTACTAAACTATGTACAACGTTTCAGGATAGACGCTCCAGCCCATAGCGTCGCCACCGATCCATCTCACCATCCATCTCGACCAGCGCTGATCTTACTGCGCATCCAAACCGCATTACGTCCCTCGTACCATCACATCTAATCACTCTAAATACACTCGTACGTTCAACATCGAGGGAACGTAATGCCCGAAACGAAACCTACCACCCTACAAGCCTACATGTCGCGCGTCCTGGAACGCACACCCTGAAACAAAGGGAAACCTCCACCCTCTCTTAATTTTAGATTAATTTACGATAAAAAAGCACAAAATAAGACAATGGACTGGGAGGGTGTTGGCTTCCAGACAAAAAAGCACTACGTCTTTCCAGAAACATCCCCGAATTTGCGCATCTAGCACCCATCCGGACCGAATTGGACGAAGGTCCAGCCTCCCGCCGAGGACAAAATGCCTCGACGAGGGGATCGACCCCGCAACTCAAGGACCCGGGGGTGCAGCACTGTGGGTTTGTTCAAGGAAAGACGGCCCAACCTATAGAGCAGATGTTACAGGAGCCTGATGGACTGCTCGCAATGGCTCTATGGTCGGGACTTAGGCAAATGAGACGGCGCGTCCGATGACGGCTGCAACTTCCTAAAGTAGACTATACCGCTAGGCTGCTCGACAGAGTAGCAATGATAAACAAGTTAAATAATTAGCGGAAAATTTAATTGGTGTTGACGCGCTACTACAATAGGAAGTATGGCTACGGAGCTGATGATTGACTAAGATGTTACGCGGGATTTTACATGGCGCGATGGATGTTAACGCGCTCCACAAGTGCGCCAGATGATGTTAGCTAGTGGGTTAACTAGCACGACAGATGTTACACAGTAAGTAGGCAAAGTAAAAAATAAATTTTCAAGGCGCGACAGTCACAAAAATGCCAGAGTGCAAAAGAAAGTTGACTGACGCGCAAATACAAAACATTAGTAGATTTAGAAAAATATAAAATGTAAAAAGAGAAATTCGAAACAAAATTTAAAATTAGTGTTGCCTACTGGTACCGTTCGAGTCCACAGTATCACCCGGTTGCGCGTCCACCTGCGCGTCTTGTGAATTCGCCATATGTACTCGTCCACAAATCTCCATCAACTCCTGCCAGAAGTCGTCCTCAGACTCGCGCGTCAAAATTCCTATTCCCGGCTCGCCGTTGGTCCCATCATCCTTAAAATAGATCATCGTCACGAAGTATTCTAAGCTGAACGGCGCGTCCAAGCTGCGCAGCAAGACTTCCCTCTGGACGTTCCGACGATAGATCCACTGGCATGTGCATGATTAATACTTAGCGCGACAACTAAATGATGTTACGTACTTAGCGCACCTATTTGACACGTTACGCTAAGTATGTACCGCACGTCGATGAAGAAGCGGGTTTACTATGCGCAAACTAAGTATAACCATGATCAGATGTTGGAATGTGAGCCAAGCTGCCGACGAGGACACTACAGCGAGTACGGGAGTAGGTGCTACCCGCGAGACTATTCCAATATTCGTCAAAATCGGGTTACGCTGCATACTGAGAGTGTCCAAATAGGTGATGGAATGATGACACAATAAAACAGTGATGCAAACGAGGAGTAAGTCCGAGTATAAGCCAATCCAGGTAGAAAGAGATTCCGGCGAAGCGACGGCGAAAGCCGCGCGTATAACCACAGCCGATGTTGGTGGCTACAGGTCCCTGACGTAAGCGTCCACAAACAAGTTAGTATAAACGTGTCTACGGATCGCGCGTCAGGTAAGTCTGGATCCGAAAAAACAGATGCACTTCAAGGATGTGCTTGCCAATACACAGCGGTGGTCGCAGTTACACTAGCTGGCCAGGCAAGTTAAACATACGAACAAGATGGTAACAACTGTGAATAAACAAGACACACTAGCCCTAAGCGCAACGATTGGGCCAAGCTACTACGGGCAAAAAATATCCATGAAGTACGGCTGGCGCGCTATGCGCAATATCTCGTCGAACGACAATACAACTCAAAAATACGACGATGCCAATATAGATGGTAAAGAAGTACTTCACTTGCCGAAGATGTAGTCAAGTAGACTTGGCTGCGGTCAAGATGCAGATGGAACGCATTACTGAAATGAAAGCGCGGTGCTACAGAGAGTACTCACGCGCGAGAAAAGGCCTGTAGATGGAATAGGCAATAAGAAAACACTCAACACTGCGCAACAGGGGGCCATATAGTGCCGAGGGCGCGCTTATATGATCTAATATGACAAATACCGAGATTGACGCGCAGTACAAGGGATCTTTAAGAATGCACGGATCGTGCTAGCACATGGACGATGTAATGAACGCGCGTAAGGAAAAACCGAGTTTAAGTCAAAGCCGAGTAAATGACAGTCTTGCAGGTAGCCAAGAATGAAACAAAAAAAAACTACAACTACGCGGAGCACTTACAGGAACAACTGCAGAGATACAGGATGACACAAAGGAAAACGCGTGTGCAGAAAGTTACTGCAATGAGCATAAGGATGGTGATAAGCTCACGGCTCGCGAAGCTGCAAAAGGAACAAAAATACTGATTTGGCTGGGACACGGCTGCAATAGTAGACAATAGCAACTGTAACGATGGAACAAGTTCGCTATACACCAAGGATAGAATACTTAGCGAGAAGTACAGAATCTACTGCTCTAACCGACGCTCTAAGGCCAAAGGAGACGAAGTTTGCGCGAAATGAGCAGTTGGGTCGCGCGTTCATCGAAAATACAAGAATACAAAGGGAGGCTATGATTGCTTATTGCGTGCGCACATCAATAAACAAAACATAGGGAACCAAGGAAAAAAGCGCAAAAGATCTGATGGTTGATCAATATGCACAAGAAGGTGGGGTACACGCCGCCTACAGTGCGCGCTCAACAAAATCGTTTCAGGACCCAACTGGAGAAAAAGTGGGGAAATAAGGGACAAAATTTACAAAAAGAAAGGCATTCCGCCGCAAAAACACAATATCTGGCCTGATAGTGAAAACAGAGCGTAAAGCTCGACAACGGCCTGGCACCAGACAAATCAGAACAAAAGAAAAAAGAAAACAGAGGCTCGGTACCTGGATGGAAAACGGTAAGAAATTCTGCCTGTTTCCAGTGGCTCTCTCTGTCATACTATCCGTCGTGTGATCGACGACATCGAAGATGTACCATGCCTAAACGAAGCGCGGCGCGCTAGGGGGCAACACTCACACCCATCGGTAACCTAAAGAAATAAAATACATATAATTATAAATAGAAGAATCACAGAGCACGCTCCCTACTACCCATGCCAACGAATCACCCTACCAAAAACCCTTTCAACTTACCCAACCTACTCCACCACAGAAGGAAAAACAAAAAAAGAAGTGTACTACGTAACCGTGGGGGTAACCAAAGGACGTAAGGCAAACAGAGCGTGAATAACGACAGAGTGTCACTGAAGAGCCTGCGCGGCACTAAGTGGCGCGCGTATAACAAGGTACGGGAAAGGTTATCCTGTCGGAGGCCGGTCTGGAAACTGCTCAGGGCTCCTGTCGGCGAACGGAGAGGCCATCATTGATGACCCGTGGGCACTTGGACCATATCCTGCTTAAAACCGTGCTTCGTTCCAATTGCCGTCCTTCATCGTCGTCCTGCTGATGGTACCTTCCAGCATCTTGCTCGGCAATTCCAATCCTTCTAGCACGGCTGCTCTCCGCTTTGTACTAGGGGGTGGTGGGCGAACTAAAGGGGCATAGCCTCAAGGGCCCAAGTGCGCTTATTGCACCAAAGAGGCTAACCATACGGCCCCATGTAGCACTACGCCGGGGATAGAGGTCACTACGGGTCACAATTGGGCCAATCTTGTACTACGGACTAAACTACTAAACTAAACTACGGACTACAGGAGTTAGACTACGGGGACAAGACTAATACCGGTTGTAGGGAAAACTAAACTACAGTAGAGCGAAGAAAAGAGGTGATGTGAAAGAAAAACTAACAGGATACGGATCAAAGGAACCCCTAGTACCAATCCAAACTCATGCCCAACCCAAACTCAAATCTACCTAAAAAACAGAAAAATACAAAAGGCATAAAACACAAAATACTACCTATAAAACCCCAACTTACATAAAAGAACCCGAATCCCGTCTCCCCGGCTATGGTCCAAGCTCCTATATGTGTATATAGGACGGTGTCGATCCCCAGCTGCGGTTCCTCGCGCGTCTTGATACTGCTCCACCTTCACGCGTCCACCGATACAGCTCTACGCAGCTCCATACCCCTCTCTCGTCGCTCCTCCTGTCCACCGCTCGTCCTTCGCCTTCGAACTAGCGCGTGCAACGATACAGCACTGAAACGCGTTCGACGATACAACACTGATACACGTACGACGATACGATACTGAAGCGTGTTCAACGATACAATACTACATACGCGTGCAACGATACAGTTCTAAATCGCGCTCCCTAACTCCCATCCGTCCGTCTTCCAACTGTCCATCTCCATGCCGCTTTCCACTCGAACAACAATCCAACGTCGAAACTCTCCTGGCGCGTACTCCGATACAGCTCTCTCGCGTGCTCCGATACAGTCCTAAAATGCGCGTACAACGATACAACTCTTCTTCGCGCCTCCACGATCTGGTCTTCTGCGCGCAGCGTGCTCAACGATACAACACTAAATGCACGTACAACGATACAACTCAGGCGCGCTCGCGATCGTCCTATCCTCCGTCTTCTTCTTCACCCTACTTCCATCCGGCATCCATCTTCCATCCATCGTGCTCCTTCAAGGCGTCCATCTGTAAACTCTTCCTATCCTGCTTCCCCCAATCCTTCATCCAAATCCCGAAGACTCGACTTGTGCGGCCGCTGGTACTCTCCGGTACCCCCTATCGAGCCCGCCGACTACGACACCGGCCCTCCACCTGGGCAGTACTTTCCAAGCGCGACAGGCTTACCAGGTATCGCATGACGTGGGCGCTCGATCGATTGGGGTTCTAGTTGGCAAGTTGCCACAGTCTTCCCGACTATCCCCCCGCGCTGACACGCCATGCTTCGCACCCTGGCTACCTTCCGGCACTCTTGTTACTGGCTACGTAGATATTCAGCTCTGCCTCTCTGTTTGCCAGGACTTCCTACTGGGGCGCTGAGCGTGGTAGCTTCGGGCTCGTTACGCACGCATGATGGATGGGATAGCGCGTTCCTTTAACAACGCAACGACGACGCAACACACCGATGACACACAATCCCGCTCCAACTTGCGCGACTAACCCATCCGCGGGCGGCGACGCCATCCACCATGCGCTCGGCATCGATGCACCATGTTGCGGCTCGGTGGGCTCTGCGCCCCCTCACCTAGTGCTCGACTGCCTTACGCCACAGCTCCTGTCCCAAAGGACTTCCGCCACTGCGGGTGGCGCCAACTCACAATGGCGCGTTACGCCTACACTGCACGAAACAATAAAAGAATACATAAATTTACTAAATAAATATACACAAAATACACGATATAAACAAATATAAATATACTTACCACGGGGAGAGTTAAGCTCTACCCCGGGCTATCGATGGGGACTCTGGCTTACTCACACTCACACACTAGCACACTCACTCACTCTCCCGGAATCCAAGGGAGCTACCCACAGGCCGGCCGCGCGCCGCCAAGGCAGCAGCTACGGCACGGCAACACCGACCCCATGATGTTAACCAACGGCATCGAACAAAGCTCCCAACGAATAATCCTGCGCAACCAAAGCGCTTTGTGATGTTCATCATCCTGGAATTCTATCCTCGCGCGTACATCCAAACAATCCATCAACGATCCATCCAATCGCGCGAGGCACGGGGACGTAGACACGACGGCGATATCGTAGAGACCCAACCAATCAATAATAGAGGCGGCACGACGATAATAGTAAGATGACAAGACGAGAGAGGCCGCACTGGCGCGCGTACGCGCTATTTATAGCGGTGGCTGGGGGCGTGCCTACATGGTGTGGTCTCGGAGCGAACAAGGTAGCCGCCGTAAAGCGCGGCGACCGTGCCCACGACCGAGACGCGCGGCAACACGGTGCTCCCGGCCACATGCTGTGAGGAGCGGTCGATCGCGAGCCGCGACACTGTCCAACACTTAGCCGTTCACATCCATCCATCTGCGTAAGCTTAGTGGAGACTCCGCTAAGCATGATGATGATAATAATAACGATAATCAGAATAATACTCGAAGGGGCTAGGCCGCTTTCTACGCGAATATTTAGACACCGGCTAGCAGGAGAGATCTCAAGTGAATACCGTGGACCAGATAAGTGCGGCAACCAGCTTCCCCGGATTCCATACTTCAAAGTGTGGCTTACATACGCGAGCCGCGACAGACGTTGTACATGCCGTCCGCCTTTTGCGCAAATACAATTCTGTTGCGTCCATTGAAGATAGTTCATGACTGGAAGAGGCGCAGAGAAAAAAAGCGGTGAGAGTGTACAAGGAAAGGGGAGTGACGCGCAGTACAATTCCTTGCACTGCGCGGACGCGCATAAACAAATCTGAAATGAAAACAA